ACTGGAGCTGCTTCAGTGATCACGCATCAGTTGTCTCTCAAAGGTAAGGCAGCAGCAGACGTTGCTTAAGTTGCAATAGATCCCAATCCACTAACGTTACTCTGAAGTTGCAAAACACCTCAATATTATCTATGATTTCCGCGATGCAGAAAATGTGGACGGAATCGCGGAATCCAGTCATATAAATGGAATTTACTGTATAACGCGTAATGTCACGGAATTTGTCAAAGTTTGAATGAATTAATCAAAAGTAGGTCAGTACACTTAAATAGAGTAGCGATATGGACTAGTATCTGTAAATATTAAGCTGCAAAAATACTATTTAAATATGAATCCTGCATGTTCTGTGTGTCTCTGTGTATGTAAATGGCACAGACGCACGGTTTTGTTTTCTACACATATGCAGTGATTTCAGCTTCTGTCGTCTCATGAGGACATAAATACATGAACAATCTCCAGAACTGCTGACTCCCTCTGAGAGTCACTTCATGATCATTTGACAGTTTCATTTGAGTAAAACTATTGCAGTATTTTCCACAGACTTAAACTCTATTTCTGTCAGGACCACTATCGTCAAAAATGATTGACAATTAGCATACAGTTTGGATTGGCGGTATGGTTCTGTTCTGGGCAAGAACTCCCTGCGCATCCATGCAGCCTAGCATGGATGAGAGCAGGGAGAGCAGCAATAACCCCCCAGGGTAAACAGAACAGAACCAACATAAACAGCAGGCAACTATTTTTACAGCTACATTATTGTTCCAGCCACAATTAATCACAACAGTGTATATACAATTACAAATGATTATATATAAATTGTCAGTTTGTTGTTTTATACACATGCACACAGACATTATTTCATACATGACATAGTCGTGAGATGCAAGAAACATAGACATATGGCAAGAAATCTGTAGACGCGCCCATAACAACAAAATACAATATTTTTATTGAACCTTTTCTGATAAGAAGTGTGCGCTGCAAACGTGAGCATTTTTGACGATCCTTTCTGTCCAGTCTGCTCGTTTTATTGCGTTTAACCACAGCTGTCGTCGGTTTTTTTGTCTGGCAGTGGCAGCAGATATGTGATCAAATTTCTAATTTGAGGCTGTATTACGTCGATTCTGGCACCCAACATCACAACAAGATGATATTTTAAGCTCCTTTTGTAGCCGAACCTGCGCTGGTTTGAATGGGCCGCCTCCAGTTTCCCCTTTGTTTTGCTGCCTCCAGCTAGCGCTGTGACGTCGGCTGACCCTAGTTAGCTGTGGTTGGTCTGGCCGTGCGTCACTCAGAACACAACAGGGCAATCAGAAGCGAGGCTCATGAATATTATTTAGACAGGCCAAAAT